GGGCAATGATTCAAGTGTGTCCCGCCTGGGGCCGCCTCACCAGAGCTGACGCAGGCTGAACTGAACTGAACTGAACGCATGGACCCGGAGACGATATCCATACGGAGGACCGCGCGTGGCCCAGGGGGGGTTACACGATGGATTGGGGAGGGATGAGGGGGGGAGGGAGCGGATGGGGAGGAAGGGGAGAGGGCGACGGGTCGTCAAACCAGGGGGGTCCGAGCGCGGGTCGACGGCGTCGGGGCCCCCACTGACGATCGGAGCGTCGATGCCGTTGTTTCGAAGCTCCCGTCGGCGTGGGTGCGGGCTCGATCTCTTGAAAGTCGGGGCAGCTGCGCGGCCGCGAGAGAGCTCGGACGAATAACTGAGGTGTCGGCCCATCGGGTCATCGTGAAAAGCTCTCGTCTGCTCGCGGGTCGCTTTCCTCCGTCTGACCAGCCTTCTCCCCCTCGTCTGCCTCATCTTTCCGAGTATAAGTTCCTCCAGCTTGTTCTCCCCTCTCCCCCCCTTCGCCCTACCCTTGTGATGTTGTCCCTCCACTTTCTCCCTGGGGCCCTTCCGCCTCCATCACCCTCCTCGCTCCTCTTTCCTGGGCCCTCCGCTGCATCCCTCCCCCACCTTCGCATCCCCCCCCTCCTCCTCTTTCTCATCCTCTTTCTCTGCGTTTTCCTCCTCGGGGAGGTGGATATGTGATGACCCCATCATCTTGTGTCAAGCTGCTTGCCGCAGCACGGCCACATGTGGGCTCTCGCTGCGCTGGCCCCAGCGCTGCATGCGAGCAGCGCCCCAGAATCCCACCAGCCCGTTGGGCGTAGGTGGTCTGGGGAGCCTCCTCTTCCAATCCCCTCCTTCTCCTTCGGGGAGGGGCTTGCCCCTCCCCCACCCTCCCCCCTGGACCTGGACAGGGGATTTCGCTGGCACTTGGAGCGTTCAAGATGGCCCAACACTGGCCCAAGAGCGCCTCGGAAGGGCCCAAGATGAGTTCCAAGATGGCTCAAGATAGCTCAAAAAGCCTCAAGATGGCTCCCAAGACGCTCCAAGAGGTCCTCAACCCGCTCAAAGACAGCTCCAAGAGGCTTCCGAGACCGTCAAGGAGGCTTCCAAGAAGCCCAAATCCTTCAAACACCTGAGGAACATGAATGATGTTTGCATCGTCGCCCGTTCGGTCTCGATAGCTTTCCGAGGCCTCAAGCTGGCTCCAAGATGGCCCATGAAGGCCCCAAGAGAGGCCCAGGAGAGCCCCAAGGCTGCCCCAAGAGCGACCAGGCGCGTTCCAAGAACGCCCCAGGAGCGCCCCACGAGACAATGTGTGGGGCTCCCGAGGGGCAGCCCTAATTTGCGAACCCATCTTGTTGTATCGGTGTCCTCGAACAGCGTCCCCAATGCTCCCAAGAGCGCCCCAAGAGGGCCCCAAGAGGCGCCCAGTCGGCCCCAAGAGGCGCCCAAGAGGCACCCGAAACAGCTCCCTAGAGGCACCCGAGAGGCTTCACGAGGATTTCCGAGGTACCCAAGATGCACCTAGACGTTCCAAGAGGGCTAAACAAAGCCTGGCGAAGGACATAACCACAGATATCGTATTCGGTGGGGCTCCCTATGGGGCCACGAAGCATTGCACTGGGCGGGGGAGACGCATGCGAAGTTTGCCATTGGGGCATTCGGTTGAGCCCCCCGTGGGCCACGAAACGTTGTGGTGGGTGGGGGGGACGCATGCGGACTTTGCCCGTGGGACATTCGTTGGAGCTCCTTATGTGCCACGAGACGTTGTATTGGGTGGGGGGGGGGGGCGCATGCGGACTTTGCCGCTGGGGCCTGAATTCGGCGGAGCCCTCTATGGGGCCACGAAACGTTGTGCTGTGTGCGGGGAACGCATGTGTACTTTACCACTGGGGCATTCGATGGGGCTCTCATGGGGCCACGAATCGGTGGAGCTCCCTATGGAGCCGCGAAACGCTGTACTGGGTGGTGTGTGACGCGTGCGGGCGGTCCCACTGGGACCTCCGGTGGGGCCCCCTGTGGGGCCACGTTCGACGCGCTGTACTTGGTGTGCGGGACGCCTGAGGGCGGTCCCATTGGGACTTTCGGTGGGGCTCCCTGTGGGGCCACGAAACGCGGTACTGGGAGGGGGCGACGCACGCAGGCCGTGCGACTGGGACCTTCGGTGGGGCTCCCTGTGGGCCACGAAGCGTTGCACTGGGTGTGCGAACGCAAGCGGGCGGTGATCGTTGGACCTTCGGTTGATCCCCTTGTGGGGCCACGAAACGCTGTACTGGGCGTGCGGGGCGCATGCGGGCGGTCACACTGGGGCCGTCGGTTGATCTCCCTATGGTGCCACGAAGCGTTGTAATGGGTGTTGCGTGGCGCATGCGGGCGGTCCCACTGGGTCCGTCGGTGGGTTCCCCTATTTGGGGACACGGAACGCTGTGCTGGGTGGCGGCTTTTTTTTTTTCTTTTTCTTTTTTTGGTTTTTTTTTTTTTTATTTTTTTTTTTTTTTTTTTTTTGTGTATTTTCTATTGGTTTTTTTTTTTTTTTTTTTTTTTTTTTTTATTTTTTTTTTCTTTTTATGTTTTTTTTTATTTTTGTTTTTGTTATTTTTTTTTTTTATTTTTTATTTCTGTTTTTTATTTTTTTTTTTCTTTGTTTTTTTGTTATTTTTTTTATTTTCTTTTGGTTTTTTATTTTAATTTTTTTTTTTTTGGCGCATGCGGGCGGTGCCGCGAAGGCCGTCTGTAGAGCTCCCCATGGGCCACGAGACCTTGTACTGGGTGGTGCGTGGCGCATGCGGGTGGTCCCATTGGGACCTTCGGTGGGGCTCTCTATAGGGTCACGAATCGTTGCGCTGGTTGGTGCGTGACGCATGCGGGCGGTGGCGCTGGCGCCGTCGGTGGATCTCCGCATGGGGCCACGAAACGTTGTACTGGGTGGTGCGTAGCGCATGCGGGCGCCCCCACTGGGGCCGTCGGTGGAGCTCCGCATGAGGCCACGAAGCGCTGTACTGTGTGGTCCGTTACGCATGCGGGCGGTCCCATTGGGGCCTTCGGTGTAGCTCCCTATATAGAGCCACGAAACGCTGTACTGGGTGGTGCGTGACGCATGCGGGCGGTGCCACTGGGGCTTTCGGTCGAGCTCCCTATGGAGCTACGAATGGCTGTATTGGGTGTGCGTGGCGCATGCGGGCGGTCTCATTGGGACCTTCGGTGGAACTCCCTATGGGGCCACGAAACGCTCCACGGGGTGGTGCGTGACGCATGCAGGCGGTGCTGCTGGGACCTTCGGTGGATCTCCTTATGGGGCCACGAAACGCTGTGCTGGGTGGTGCGCGACGCATGCGGACGGTCCCACTGGGGCCGTCGGTTGATCTCCCTGTGGGGCCGCGAAGCGCTGTACTGGGTGGTGCGTGACGCATGCGGGCGGTCTCACTGGGACCATCGGAGGAGCTCCCTATGGGGCCCCGAAACATATGAAGGGCGTGCTGAACGGGTGATGTTGCTAATGATGGTGATTGAGGGGGGAGGGGGGGGATGAAGGAAGGAAGAGACGCGGGGGCCGTCCGTTCAAAACGAGGGCCCAACACCACAGAATGGTTGGGAACAAGAGACATCCGAGGAGGCTCTTCTGATCGTAATGTTTTTTTCCCTACCTAGGCTCTGCCTAGAAGGGTTCTTACTCTCTTAGCTTAAAGGGGCCGGGCAGTGGAAAGCGCCCCGGGCGGTTCCCCCAGTCCCCTGGGAGCGGTTCCCCCCAGTCCCCTGGGAGCTTTAGCTTTAGCTTTAGCTTTAGCTTTAGCTTTAGCTTAGCTTTAGTTTAGCGTTAGCTTAGCTTTAGCTTAGCTTTAGCTTAGCTTTAGCTTTAGCTTTTGCCTTGATGTAAGGCTTAGCTTAAGATTAGCGTTTCGCTTAGCGTTTCGCTTAGCTTTTAGTTTAGAGCTTAGAGTTTAGAGTTAGCTTAGATTTTAGCTTAGCTTTAGCTCGCTTGAGCTTAAGCTTGGTTAGCTGCAGCTTCGCTTTAGATTAGCTTTGTAGCTTAAGCTTTGGCTTTAGCTGTAGCTTAGCTTTAGCTTTAGCTTTAGCTTATCTTTAGCTTAGCTTTAGCTTAGCTGTAGCTTAGCTTTAGCTTAGCGTTTCGCTTAGCGTTTCGCTTAGCGTTTAGCTTAGCGTTTAGCTTAGCTTTAGCTTAGCTTTAGCTTAGCTTTAGCTTAGCTTTAGCTTAGCTTTAGCTTAGCTTTAGCTTAGCTTTAGCTTAGCTTTAGCTTAGCTTTAGCTTAGTTTTAGTTTAGTTTTAGCTTAGCTTTAGCTTAGCTTTAGCTTAGCTTTTAGCGTTACTGTTACTTTTAATTTTTCTGTGGCTTAGCTTCCTAGGGGTTTCCAACTCCTAGGTAGGGCGCCCTTGGATAATTTCTCCTCCTCCTGCTACTCACTCCTCCTCCTCCTCCTCCTCCTCCTCCTCCTCCTCCTCCTCCTCTCTCTTTACTCTCCCCCGCCTCCTCCTCCTCCTCCTCCTCCTTCTCCTCCTCATCATCATCATCATCATCATCATCATCATCCCCCCTTGCACTTCCAAGAAACCAGAGGAGACTCCGAGAGTCACTCAAAAGGCTTATGGCTCTTCTGTTCGCCCTCTTTCTTCCTCCTCCTCCTTCGTCGTCGTCATCGGCGTCGTCTTCGTGGTCGTCGTCTTCGTCGTCGTCGGGTGCGTCGTCATTGTCGTGGTCATCGCCGTCGTCGTCGTCGTCGTCGTCGTCGTCGTTATCGCTTTCTTCCTCTCTCGCCCCACCGCCTTCTCTTTCTCCTCCTCCGCCCCATCCTCCTCCCACTCCTCCCACAAGGAAGAAGTAAAAGGAAGCAAGTAGGAATTAGGAGCAACGAGAGGAGATAGGCGAGGGCATGAGGAGGTAAGCGCGAAAGCCACGACATTCGGTAGGGCTCAGTAAAAGTAGCTGTTTCGGGATGGGCTGGTGGGGATACGCGAAGCGTCAAGAATTTAAAACTGAGCTGCCGTGCGCTCACTCGCCCGCTGCCGCAGGCTCGTCCGGCGCCGCAGGCTCGTCCGGCGCCGCAGCCACAGGCGCCGCCGCAGCCGCCTCCACAGGCGCCGCCGCAGCCGCAGCCGCCTCCTCGTCGAAGTCCTCCAGCTGCGTGTCGAAGTCCTCCAGCTGCGTCGAAGTCCTCCAGCTCGAGAGCTCGTCCTTCTTATCATTCTCATTGACGCTCTCTGGGCCCTCGTCCTTCTCAATTTCCTTGTCGTTCCCGGGGGCATCGTCGTCATCGCTCTCCTTCTTGTTCTCCTTCTCGCCCTCGGCCTTGCCACCTTTTGCCTTCTTGCCCTTGCCGCCAGACTTGCCGCCCTTGGACTTCTTTTTCCCCTTGCCGCCAGATTTGCCGCCCTTGGACTTCTTGTCCTTCCCCTCGGGAGGATCGTCCGAACTGGCGCCCTCATCTGCATCTTTGGGCACATCATGAGCTTTGATCATCTTCTGCATGAGCTTGTTGGCGTGCTGCACCGTCCCGATCAGGGTGTCTGAGACGGGGGCTCTGGCGTTTGAGAATTTCGTCCACACTTGCCTCGTGCCGTGGCGGATTGCGCACTCCCACCCGTCGATCTTCGGCCTAGGGCTGATCAGCACCTGCGGCTGCCAAATCGACGGGACTTAAGGGGGGCGACTAAGTCGACGACGCGGTCAAAGATGAGGAGCAGGGGGGTGCCCTCCAGATCCTCCTTTCCTTTGTCCACGTCGGCGTACGAGTACGAGTGCGAGCAGTGCTGGACCTAAAAGCTGTTTTGCTGCATTTCGGCTGCGTTTTGTTTCTCGTTTTGGCAGGGGGGCGCAGGACAACAGGTAGGACAAAACGAACAACAAAACGACAACAACACGAACACAACGTTTAGGTCCAGCCCTGAATACGAGAACGAGGGTGGAGGCAGGCGAGTGCTTGCACGCGCCGTTGGACCTTCCACGAGCCGCTCCTCTCACAGACCTGCCTGCACGTCTCGATGCTGTTCTCGTCCTCCACGGCGACGCCCGCATCCTTGTCGCCATCGTCGGACACCTTGAGCTTCTTGCCTGCGACCTGCAGGTGGTCCATGCTCGAACCAGCAGACGCCCTCTTGCCGCTCAGTCTGCACCAGCGGGCCTCAGACACGTAGTCGGACTTGTCCACGCCTGCAGTCAGGTCCACGCTCTCGGACGCCGTCTCGCCACAGTCGTCGGCAGCGTTCTTCTTGCCCTTGCCGTTGTCGGCCTTGCCCTTGCCGTTGTCGGACTTGTCCTCGCCCTTGCCGTTGTCTGCCTTGCCAGCGCTCGGGGGGCCCTTGTCGGCAGCGTTCTTCTTGCCCTTGCCGTTGTCGGCCTTGCCCTTGCCGTTGTCGGACTTGTCCTCGCCCTTGCCGTTGTCTGCCTTGCCAGTGCTCGGGGGGCCGTTGTCGGCCTTGCCCTTGGAGCCCCTGCTGGACTTGCCCTTGCCAGACTTGCCCCTGCCCTTGCCCTTGCCCTTGCCGCTGCCCTTCCCCGCCCTCGCCGGAGTCGCTACGTGCTGGACGGCAGCCGCATCAGCCGCACCGGCTGGGTTCTTCACCTCGTCGTACGAGACCCCCTCGGCGAGCCACCTGTCCCCGTCAGACCAGACGAAAACTGCGACCCCAGCTGTTGACGAGACGACCTCGTCCGCCCAGTTGTCATCGCATGTCCGTTTTGCCCACCCGTCCACCATCTTGAAGTCCACGTCCGTGATATCTTCGGTCCAGTACGCCTCCTCGATCTTCGACCAGCTCGAGCCCTCGCCGCCATCCTGGCGGGGCTCCTCGGCCACGTCCCACTCGGACTCGTCTGACACGTCCTCCAGGGGCTCGTGCTCGCCTGCTTCGTCGTCGTCGTCGTTCCCCCTCGCCGTTTTCCTCCAGCCAGCCTCCTCTTCCTCCTCCTCCTCCTCCTCGGAGCTGCCCACCCTATGGCCCTCTCCCTCATCTCCACCTCCCCATTTCCGCTTTCCTCCTCTTCCCTCCCCTCGCTCTTCTCAGTGTCCTCTTCCTCCTTTCCCCTCATCTCCCTCGGCCCCGCCAGGGGTGCCTTTGGGCCAGATTTTCGAGGTGGTCCCAGCCGCGGCCACAAGGTGCTTCCTGGAGAACCCGAAAAGGGCGAAAAAAGTCCAGAAGCTTCTCGAACCTCGAAGTTCGAACCTCGATCGAAAAATCGCCCCCCCTGCTCCTCCTTCTCCTCCTCCTTCTCCTCCTCCTTCCCCTCCTTCCTCCTCCTCCTTTTCCTCTTCCTGCTCCTGCTCCTGCTCCTGCTCCTGCTCCTGCTCCTCCTCCTCCTCCTCCTCCTCCTCCTCCTCCTCCTCTCCTCCTCCTCCTCCTCCTCTCGTCGTCGTCACCTGCGTCGGGGTCGGTGAGCGACTCCAGGGACTCGTCGCTGCTCGCCGAGTCGAGGCCGAAGAAGTCGCGGGCGCGCAGCTTGGGGCCAGGCATCATCTCGCGCCGGAGGTCGTCGGGGATGGCGTAATTGTTCCTGGCGGGGCGCCCTCCTCCATACTCCTCCTCCTCCTCCTTCTTCTCCTCCTCCTCATCATCATCATCATCATCATCGTCATAATCTTCACCATCATCATCATCATCATCATCATCATCATCATCATCATCATCATCATCATCATCATCCTCATCCTCATCCTTCTTCACCTCCTCCTCCTTCTTCTCCTCCTCCTCCATCACCTTCTCCTTCTTCTCCTCCTACTTCTCCTTCTCCTGGATACTCCTCCTCCTCCTCCTCTTCCTCTTCCTTCTCTGCATCCTCTGCCTCTTCCTCGTCCTTCTGCTCCTCTGCCTCCTCATCCTCCTCCCCCTAGTCGTCATCGTCGTCGTCCTCCTCCTCCTCCTCCTGCACCTCCTCCCCCTCCTCATTTTGCTCCTCGTCGTCGTCGTCCTCCTCCTCCTATCCTCCTCCTCATTATCCCCCTCCTCCTATCCTCCTCCTCCTTCTCCTTCTCCTTCTCCTCATCCTTCCATTGATCGTCTCCCTTTTTTCTCATCTACCCCTCTGCTTCACCCGATCATTATCCGAGAAATACCCCTCCATTCCCATCATGAACACTCACCCTTCCCCCCCTCTTCGTTGAGGGGGAGGGCCATCCCTCTCCTCGTCCCAGGTGGACGTTTGTTCCCCAGGGTCCGCACGACACGGCGCCATCCGGCAAGCAGGTCGATGATCTTTTTGGCCTCCCTGCACGCGTGCCGCGCGTCGCAGTCCAGCACCGATGGGGAAAGGCAGGAGGAGGATGGGGGAGGAACATGGGGGAGGATGCGGGCAGTAAGAAGAAGGAGGGAGAAGGGAGGATGGGCGAGGAAGAGGAGGTCCAGGAGGAGGAGGAACAGGAGGAGAGGAGGAGGAGGAGGAGGAGGAGAAGGAGGACCAGCAGGAGGAGAAAGAGGAGGAGGAGGAGGGGCAGGAGGAGGAGCAGGAGAGGGAAGAGGGGAGGATGCGGAGGAGGAAACAGATAAGTAGCACCTTGAACACAGCCCGTTCAACCTCCGGAACCTCGAAGATCAAGTCTTCCTTGAGGGTCGCCAGCTTGCGCAGGGGCCGATGCCAGCCGCTCCTACGGGAGCGGGGTCACCCTCTCGACTCTCACCCCCCCCTCCGTTTTCATTGGTGATCGGCCATCCTGCTCCTCGCCATCCTGCTCAGCCTCCTCCCCTCCTCCCGTCGTCGTCGTCCTCCTGCTGCTCCTGTTTTTCTCCTGGTCATCCTCCGACTGCTTTTAATGCATCACGCATCCTCCCGCATCCTCTTCATTCTCCCCCTTCCCTCCCTTTAGGCCTCATCATCCTCCTTCTTTCCTTCATCCTCACATTCATACTTCGAATCTGGCTCCTCATGATGAACTCGCCCAGGCCACGCACGCGCTTCGAGCCGTGCGTGTCCCAGTTGCACAGCACGAAAGTATTCTTCCGGTGGTCCTTGAGGAATGCGGGGGAGGCTTCGAAGGTGCAGCGGGAAGGGAGCGAGGAGGACAATGGGGAAGATGAGCGGGAAGAGAAGGAGGATGGTCCGACGGCAGCGGAAGCAGCCGCAACGCCGACGCAATATGCTCGGAGTTCATCGGCAGCTCTGGAGACGGCTCGCAGGCGCTCTCCTCAATATACTTCTGAGCCCAAACGGCTGTCTGGAGACGAGGAGTAGCTCCACAGGTTTCGCCATTTTACCTATACGACCACCCTTCGGGTGATAAGGAGGTTCGGGGGGGAGCAACCAACTTCTCACTCACTATCGATATCACCCGATCGGTTTTACTATCAATATCCCTATCGATCTCACTATCGATTTCATAATCGATCACACTCGATCGGTTTCATAGGATCGTCTCACTCGACCGATCTTACTCAATCAATCCCGCTATCGATCTCACCATTGCTCTTACAAGCGACACCACTAGTGATCTCACGATGTATCTCACAATTGTCACAATCGATTTCACTCAATGGACCTCACCATCGATTTCACTGTTTCTCTTAGTATCGATCCCACACACAATACCACTATCGATATTGCAATCGTTGCTCCTATCCCTCTCACAATCGATGCCACCATTGATCTCACTATCGATCTCACAATTTATATATATATATACCACGTTAGAATGTACAATCGATCTCTCTATCGATCTTTTCATCGGTCTCACGATCGATCTCACTATCGATCCCATTATCGATCTCGCGAAACATCACGGGACACCGTCACGAGCCACGATCACGAGACAGCATCACGAGACACCACCACGAGACTTCATCACGAGACACCATCCCGCGACACCACCACGAGACACCACTATGAGACACCACCACGAGACACCACGAGGCACCGCAAGACACCGCGAGCACCACGAGAAACCACGAAAGCGAGATGCCGCGAGACAGATGAAGCCTCAACCGAACCGAGCAAATTGTTGCGCCACAGGTTGCGCCATTATAGCCATAGGTTGCGCCATGGCGGCGCCCGCAGGCGATATCTCGGCGGACCCGTTCAGGGAGAATTGAAGCTCGAGGAGGCGGAGGGGGACGAGAAGGAGGAGGAGGAGGCCCCCCGGAGTCGATTCTTCACACCTCCTGGCTCTTCCCTGTCCTTCCTCCCCCCCGCCTCCTCCCTCGATCCCTCCTCCATCCTCCTTCTCCCTCCCTCTCTTCTCCCTACGGCTTCCCTCCATCACTATCCCCAAACACTGCTTGCACTAATTCATGGCTCGTGCCTGCTGCTCTAAGGATTTGGGTGGGTCGGCCGAGGTTTCGCTTGGCGGGCATCTTCTCGACCCCCCCTCCCTCCCTCGACCTCCAACTCTTCCTGCCCACTGGCCCCCTCCCGCCCCTCGCCCTCCTGTCGTAGCGGATCCATATCCCTCTCCTCCTTCTCCTCCCTCTCCCTCACCTTGGGAACATCATCATCATCATCATCAGCATCATCAGCATTATTAACATCATCATCGCCATCATGATCATCGTCACCATCACCATCATCACCAACATCAGCATCCGCATCACCAACAACATCAGCATCATCATCAACAGCATCATCAGCATCTTCATCATCACTACCAGCATGATAATCTGCATCATCATCATCACACCACCCTCATCAACACCATCATCATCATCATCATCATCATCATCAGCATCATCATCACCACCGCCACCACCACCACCACGACGCCACCACATCACCACCACCATCACCACCACCACCACCACCACCACCACCATCATTCACCCTCCGCATGGCGCTTGAGCAGCCTGGGCTCCTCCCGCGGCCGCCATGGCGGCCATGATCGATTCGCCCGCGCTCCATGTGGCGCGCCCTACAAAGGCCGCGCGCGGCCAGGCGGCCGTCCCTTGGAGTCGGCCAGGGGCGTGGCCTGCAGGCGCCGAGGCGAGATTGTCGCTCCCCGATTGCCCTGGCAATCGGGACTGGAGGCGGCGGCGCGGCGCGCGAGCTTTGGGAGTGGGCTTGGCTGGGGCAGGCCTGCGGCGCCAACCCGCGGCCCCTTGCGTGGTCTCTGGGACCACGGTGTGGCCGCGGGCTTGGTGGGCGCCCATGTTGGTCGAACTGCCGCTGCCCGACATACAGCCGCTGGATTCGTGGTATTTCGTTGCGTGGCAGGACCACCTGGTGCCTGCCACGTGGTGGGTCCCGCTGTACAGCGATGCGGGAGGAGGTGGACCCAGCCGTCATCGCGACGGTCTGGCGCGACCCCGACGGGCACAACGTACCGCGCCCGTAAACAAAACCCAACACCGCTCATACCTCACACGTTTCGCGCCCCAAAGCTAGGCCACCAAAAGCGCTGCACCCCAGGTGCTGGAGGAGGGAGTCGCAGCGGTGCGCGGCGTTTGAGGACCCAATCGTTGTGCCGCCAGCATCCGTAACGATCACCAACCATCAATAGTCATCACCAACCACCATCACTAACTACCATTAACAACCATCAACAGCCATCACAAAACAAAAGAGGACAAAAAGAGACAAAAAGAGACATAGCGACATGAAAAGAGACAAAAAAAGACAAAAAGGGACAAAAAGAGACAAAAGAGACACATTTGCAACTGCGCGCGCCTCCTGGAAGGTATGGAAGGTTGGAGGGCCAGGGTATGGGGACCGAAGAGCATGAAAAGAGCCTCCCGTCGTGATTTTTTCATTTCTCGAGGGGGTCTGGGTGAAAAGCGGGTCCTTCGGCGGTGGACAAACCTCCCTTTAGCAAACCTCCCCTTAGTGAAAACGGCCTGGGACCGAAACCGACGGACCTGGACCCGCAAACATAACGGCTGTGACGCCCTCTCGCGAACCGAAAACGGCCAATTCCTCAATCGACGTGT